GCATAAGAAACACGCGACCACGCAAACAGCCGATGAATGTACTCAAGATATAACTTGATTTTTACTTTTCATTTCCCATACCATCGTCACGGAGCAGGCCTAGGCAGAACTGCCGTCGCGTACGGATGAGCACTGACGCACTAACTTGGGCTCATGTACATCGTTCATTTTTAATCTTTTTATACATTTCTTACATTCGTAAACGCCTTCGCATTACATGGTTGTAGAGACTAGAACGTTAATGCCATTAGATAGGACTAGACGCTCAATTAGGTCGTTAACAGAAGGCTACAAATTATGAGTTAAAAAGTCCCGCGGGGGACAAGTAAAGCAACAGGGAACGCAGTAGAAGTGAGCGTGCGTAACACATAAAATAAAAAGGATTATGCGTAATGATGAATGTTTCCTGTCGCCGTCTTCGTGAATCTCGAGAAGGATGAACATTTGCCGGACAAAAACGTCATAGACTCGAGATAAGAATGGCGAAAATACGCTCTCAGTCCGCCATCGAGGCACCATACTCTTGCTACTAGGGATGAATGAAGAACAAGGCAGATGAGAGCACAGCGGCTAACGAACTATGAAATACGCACTCCATCAATTACGTTGTAGTAGTGGTGTCCTAAGACATTTTTTCGGGATGAGTCTTTCCCGACTGAAAACGGGCCATAACTCGTGGTCCGACCTCAAGACAGCCAATGTACTGAGGAGGGACACAAGTGGCATCGAACGCGGAGGCTCGGACTGATTATAATCAAAGGATCAGTTCACAAATTTTTTTCACCAGGGCGTTGCAGCCGGAATTTCAACTAAAAAAGCCCTGCCCACTGTCATGAAATTAAAAAAGGATTAATGCTTTCTCGAAAATAGCAAGTGCTTTTGTTCTCTGTCATACTTAAAACTCGACCAACTAAGAGTCTGAATGAACTCATCGGGAAATACTAAACTAAAATGAACCCCACCTCTGCTATTATAACGGTAAATAGGGTGTACGTTGGTCGGCAGAATTCTTGTTGGCTAACTACACACCCCCCAATGCGCTGCAGTGTACCAGGGCCCCGCGTGCAGCAACCACCGAGCGATGAAACGGCCCAGAAAGCATGCTACGGGAGGCAATGCGGAACCAAAAAGGACAGAGGAG